GATTGGATTCATTTATCCCTGAAGATTGCATTTACTGCAGTGGGGGCAGGTGGAGGATGGCAGCCTGGGATGGTATGTGTGGGGACAGAGTGGGAAGAGTAGAGATGTGCAGATGTTGGATAGGGAGCAGGGAGAGACCAGCTTCCCAGAGGAAAATGTTTCAGGAAGCATATCGGAAGAGGCTCAGAGTATCCATGTCCGGGAATTAGTCCTTCACCACCCACCCCAAGCTCTGAAGAGTTGAGCAGAGTGGTGATCGGCTTAGAGCAGAGGCTCCACTGAGCACAGGTGCGGGCAAAAACATAAGACCACACTGGAACAGGTACCCAGGATGACAAGAGAGGTGTGGTGTGCTGGGTTTGACTGAATTTCCATGACATTGAATGCAGTAGTCATGACTGAATAGGAATTATGGTTACTGTTGGGTTTTCAGGTGCCTTTCAACCCTCTGCCATGGCCAAGGTTTGGTGACTCTGTCACAGCAACCATAATGAATTAGGAGGATCATTAGATGCTAAATGAAATATCCTTTTCTTTAGTGTGACAGACGGTGAGTTAAATTAAAGCCATTAATTAGTTGCTTGCACAGAGCTCTTTCTGCCCCTTCTCTGCATTGTATTATTGCTTGTCTTAGTGAATGAGGAACTCCCCACTCACTGCGAATGGGAACCAGGCCTCACTGGGGTTTAGACCGCTGAGTTCCAATGCCTTAAATCTCAGTCTTGAGACTGGGGTTCTCTTAATTTATTTATTTTCAAATTAGTCCTTTCCCTCTTTAAGCATTTGGATATCAGTAAGAAAGCTCACTCCTAAGAGTTATTTAGTATAATTTCAAATGAACTATAATTGGTTTTTTTCCCTCTTGGAAAGTTGAACTTAATGTTTCATCTTTTTTGCATATAGAAATTAAAATCTCATTTATGGCATCTACTAAAACTTGATGACTGATTTAAATCTGTTCAACTTTAGGGTGTGGGCAAGAGAACTACAGGATTCCTGGATATCAGAGCCAGAAAGTGTTCATAAGATCTTTCAAAAATTTAATTTTTAAAAAATTTTCCTCCCCTTTTATGTCTGTAGAAATAGAGGCTTGAAAGGTGAAGTAGATGAGTAAATATAGTAAATGTCTATCAAGCTAAATATGTTTTAAAATTTTCATAGTAGGAGCTTTCGTATTTCACAGCTGGTGGTGATATTACAGAAGAAATCTCTTTTTCTAGCCACCAGGAAGTGCTGGAATCTCAACTGGTCACCTGTAATGTAAAAAAAAAAAAATTTTTTAAGTGATTTAAAGTGTTCTGACTACTTCATCTTTTTTGCTTGGTAAAATAAGCAAAATTAGGTTGATTAGGTTCGTAGTTTCTTTGAATTGAGGTGTGAGGGAGGTAGATACTAGGAATGCTATTTTAGGTTTATTAGGTTTATTACAAGCCATGACATTTCATAGTGATTGTAACTCAGAATATTCCTGGTAGATAAGCACATTTTGTTTTCCCTTCCTAGCTTTGTGGGGCATGAAATTGTACCAGCGAATCTACCTCCTGGGTTAGTTATGTCCGTAGAGGATGGTGGCCAAATTACCAAAACCTGTGTTTGGTAATTTGATAGAAACGTAGTATTGTCACCCTGGTTCTGCCTTCAGGAAGATGCCCACCCCCAGAGCCACAAAGTTGTATAGCACTTGAGTGAAGTATGCGATTGCATAAGCAAATGTCACTCTTTAATTCTATTGGGAATTTGTATTTGTGGCTTTCTTCTCTTCTCTCTGCCTTTACTCTGCCACTTGCCGTTAAAAAATTGAAGTTATAAGGTTAGACATTAAACTTGATAGTTGACACACTTGTCAAGATGCCCATGTTCCTCATTGAAGGGCTCCTCCCCTAACTGTGACTCCTGGAAGCAGCATAAGTTGTATTCCTTCCACCCATGAGGGACACCTGCCTGAGCTCCCTGCTCCTTCCTTTGGTGTGACCCGGCCTAGGTCCAGTTATGGTGAACATCCGCTAAGTGAACCAGCAAATGGATGCTGTGTGTATGTGTGTGTGCACAAGCATGTGAGCCTGTCTGTTTCTATCTAACAAAAAGACATGGGATTTCAGTTTTGGCATCATTTTGTTGCAGGGAACCTTTAACCGGAAAATTTGCATTAGATTCCCTAAGCTTTTTCTTCTTTTATCTTTGGGTTTTAGGTTGCCTTCAATTGTAATCACATTATAAGCGGTCTTGTCTCATCCCCTTTCTGTAGCCAGGTGATATGAAAATGCAAGGAAATAACATATCCTCTGCATAGTTAGAATCTTGATAAATTCACAAAATTGAGCTTTTCTATTTTCTCCTTCAGATCCTTGATGTGTTTTCTTTAACTTACATGACCATTCAGGATCTGAAAATAATGAAAAGCTCTATTCTGATCACATTTTAATCATATCTTTCATGCATTTGTAAATTTTAACTTTAAGGTGCTTGGTTACTATATTTCTTATTCCTAAAGTTTTTATTTAAAGAATTATAGCTAGAACCAAATAATTTGAATGGGCAGTGATATTCTCCTATAATGATGATGCTCCCCAAATTAAGTTAAATACCATTTCTAAAGATTCATTTACTCTTACTTGATAGGTAGGTTTTACAGAGAGAAGGAGAAACAGAGAGAGTCTTGGTCTTCTGTCTGCTGGCTCACTCCCCAGATGGCCACAGCAGCCAGAGCTGAGCTGATCAGAAGCTGGGAGCCAGGAGACTCTCCCAGGTCTCCTAAGTGGATGCAGCGTCCCAAGGCACTGGGCCATTCTTTGCTGCTTTCCTAGGCTGTAAGGAACCGGATTAGTAATGAAGCACCTGAAGCAGTGTCAGCACCACTCACATGTGACAGCCAAAGATTCGATCACCCTAGTCTAGCAGCGAAACAGACCAGACAAGTGGCAGTTCACAGTAGAGAACTGTTTTGTCAAAACACAGCACAGCACTGAAAATGATGGCCCATGTAAGTAAACAGCGAGGTACAAGTTAAAATTAATAAGAGAAAAAAAAGTTTTCACCTTTCTAAAGGACAAAATTCAAAGGATTTCACCACATCCTGCACTGTGTCATTGATAAAGAACTACCACACACTGTGGTACTACTGTGCTTCTTGACATAGGTTGCTTCTTTGACTCATGGATCACATGTTGGATCTGTCCTTTGGAAACAAAAATACAAGTAGGTCCAATAGTAAGGAAGAGGCTGAACAAATTGACGTATGTTGATGTGGTGCAGTATTTGACATCTGTGAAGGAATGCTTTAGGTTGCGTAAAGATTAATTACAAAAGGAGCAAGTTTGAAAGGGGTGGTAGTAGTTTGATCACATTGAAATGACTGTGGAGAAAGACTTGGAAGAATGGGCACACACAGAGGTTGCTGATTGTGATTCTCTTAGAGAAAGATTAAAGGACAGTGGTATGGAGGAAGTCACTGTTAGAAAATCCTGTACTCTGTGTCTTGTTAGAATACATTCAAAATACTAAAATTTATTTATTGTTTCAAACCACTTGCTCTGCCTTAACCTCTCTAATTTGCAATCACTTTTAATGGTGCCTGAAATCAGCCTGTTGACTTTTCTTCATGGTGTGGACCTCTAAGGAGAGAACCCTGGCTTCCACTCTCTAACCTGTGCTAACTTCCCGAGCTCTCTCATCTATCCCTCTTACTTCAGCCAGGTACCAGCCAACATCCTTAGTTCCTTTGCCCTTTGGCATTTCATCTGTGCCACTTCAGGCTGACAGTTGAGGGAGAAAAAAAGAAAACACGTATTATTATTATTATGACATACTAAGTTTGTGTCACCAGCTGCCACAGCTCCCTTGCATCGCTCCACAGCCCTCCTGACCTCTGTTCAAGTGGAAGTGGCATCTCAGAGTTAATACTGCCACCTCTGCTCTCTAGAAGTGAGTGTCTGTCGGGAAAAACTGAGCTCCAAAAACTACTGGCCACCAAACATTGCATCCTTCCATGTCCTCCTTTTCCAAGACACTCGGGTCGTCCATGCTGGAGATTGTAGCCTGGCTTGTCCCCTTGTCAGAGTGACAAAGAGGAGTCATGTAGCCCCCTCCCTGCCCTGCCACCTGGATTACTCCTGCTGTCTCTTGCTCCACTTTTCCCATTTCTGCATCCCCAGTAGTAAATGCAGTGAGCTGCGATAACTTGTACACTTAGCTCTCTGACCTTTCTGTGTTGTTCTCTTATTGACATTTGGCTTGAATGAAGGAAGGATATTTGGAGACAATAAAGAGAAAGCAGCTGTGAATTAAAGAATAAGAAGACCTGAAGAATAAAGATAAAAAAACAAGGGAGGAAACCTAAAAACTACCTCGATTTTCCTGGCCAGACTTGGAGGAAAGTAGCAAACACATTTCACTGTGTTTGCTGAGAACAGATGATGCTTCATTTGTAAGAACTGCCAGACTATTCCCTGGTGATTTCATGGCTAGAGTCACAAACCTGGTTGTCATCCTGAATATAAACAAATGAAAAAGCCTTGATTTGTAAGCTAGTGCTCTCCAGACATTTTCTGTCGATTTTCAAGTTCAAGCTGAAGGAGTGATGTTTTCCTTTTGACTCCTGTTCTGCAGTTCTTCCTCACCTTTTTCTCTAATGAATGTCTTAATATCAAGTAACATATTTTGAGAAATGCTGAAGGACAGAAATAAGTCATGGCACTGGAAAGAAAAACAGAAAAGGGCAGTCAGGGTGAATGATTCACAATTAACACGACTACCTGTTTTGTTTTTGATTTTTTAAATCCTTTTTCAGTTGGTTTTCTGAGTCTATACATTTTGAAGAAGGCAAATGCTTTTTCAAAAGGAAAGTTATTTTGACTAGTGATACTTTGGAAGAAATAAACTATTCTGTAAATAAGTATAGGCGAGTTGTAGTAGCAGGTTTTCAGGGTGTGCTACGGGTTTGTTAGGAAGGATTGCTGTGGATTCCCACTGTCTGAGATCTCCTCTCTTATCCTCCTTTTCAGTGGCAGTCGACTAGGAGGCCTGGTCACTGTGCTGTGCTTCTTTTTCAATCATGGAGAGGTGAGTAGTCAGTTGTTCTCAGAATCACTTCAAGAAATACAGGTTCCTTCTGAAATTCAATTTCAATCTATTTGGCTTTTCTTAAATATAGGATGTTGCTGTTGTGATTCAAAATTTACATGCTAAATTAACTTCGTTACCATTCCACAGCTGTTATGTCTCCTATGTGACATATATCTTAGGTATTTGAAGAAATAGTGGGTCTGTAGAATTTTTTTTTTTGAATTTTAGAAGGTATGAAAGTCATGTTTTAAGAAAATAGATACAAGCCAGCCATAGATAAGGTTTGAACTGTCTGTGCAGAAGTTACTTTTTCTTATAGGAGTGATTCACTAAGTTTTTACCATAATGTGTTAAGCAGATGTCCTTTGCAGAATACTTCGTTCTACCTGGACATTTGCAAATGTCTGCAGGCTTTTTAAAGAGAGCAGCGTTGCAAAGGTTGTAGTCCTGGATCTAGGCTGTTTGAATTCAGATCCTGGCTCTGGTGTTTATTTAGTTGCTGTGTGAACCAAGCAGATCCTCTTTATCTCTGGTGGTGAATGGTACAACGGTATTACTGGTCTCTTAGGATTATTTCAGAGAATAAATGAAATTATATGTGTAAAGTACCTAAAGCAGAGTTAGAAATATGGTGATTGCAATGTAATTGTTAGCTTGGTTTATTAATAGTTTAAAGTTATTAGTAATTTAGTTCAGATTAAATCCTGTAATAAATTGAAAGCATCAACGAATTCCTTCTCTTAAATTAATCATAGTTGTAAATGAATTTCTAGTGAAATATCTTTGCCCAGATCTCTTTCATGGAAAGTTTAGCATGAAGGAAAGCGTTTATACATTTATACATTTGGTTTCTGCAGTATTTGAATATGTACATGTTAGGAAGGACTAGAAGTAGTAATGCCCAAACCTAATGCAGAGTTGAATTTGGACTACTTTTTAAAATCAGTAAATTACTAATGGAGATTCAACTAATATGTGCTTAGAGTCATAGAAATGTAAAGCTGCAGAAGCTTTGTAGATTACAGCATTTGATAGGTGATCATAGCATGACATCGTAATTAGTGTAGTGTGAGTTCTGAGCCAAAAGTGAAAAGACAGAGAGAAAAGAATGATTTTGCTTTTCTTTGTGTGGATGCTGCACATCATGCTAGTGTAGACCATGAAATATGTTGACGTATAAATTCTTGTGAGAATGAGCTAAGAAATGGGAACAGATTTATTAAAATTGGAAGAAGCATTGTATAATAGCAAGATGTTGGAGACAGGGAATGATTGAGAGTTGTGGAGCCAAGACACAGTAAGGTGGCTGTTCAGCCAGAGGTCTGCTGTGTTCCATATGCTGTGCTGTGTACTGGGGTTGTTACTTTCTCATCTTACATTTTCCTTATAATTTGATTGTCTTGTGACCTGCACATCATTTCTTAGAGGGGACTCAGACAATTTGGATGATTTTTTTTTTCACTCGTAGAACTTCCTCTTGATACTTTTTAGCTATTTATGTATTTAAACATGTTTAGACATCACTTTGTTCAGAAAAATTAACCTATCATCAGAATTCCTGTTTTACTGAGAAGGTCAAGTAGATAGTTGTACTGATGTGTATCTCTAACCTTGGAGTGGATAAGTTACTGTACCCAAGTTGGGAGAGAAACTGGCCCATTTGGGCAGTAGCAGGGAGGCCATCATAGGAACAGAGAGTGATGGATTAGGTCAGGCAGGAAGGAGCAGACTCTGGTCCCTGAAGGTCACTGTAGGATTGACTAAAGCAGATGGAAAGCTACTGAAGGAGGAGAGTGACATAATTTTTATATTAACCTGTAACTTAGTGTAAGTACAAGATGTATTACTGGTTTAGGCTGTTGATTGATGTGTCTCTGGATTTGTGATGTTATATTCAACCTTGAGAAACTCAGAAAGCTCCAAAAAAGAAGGCAAGGTAACATGATTTGGCAATGAATCTGCAAATACGTGTCTGAAAATTAGTCAGTGTTGCAGTAGAAATCCAGATAATGACATCCTGAGAGACAGCCCTTGTGGGTTTCTCGTCTTGTTTGACATCACTCTCCAGGCTGGTTGTGTGTCCCAGTTCCTCTGGCTTGCCCTCGTCCAGTTCCTAGTGCATACCATCCCTTCTTCTTCTTCAGGGCCTTTGCATGTGCTATTTCCCGTGCCTTTTTTCCTGCCCGCTTGACACCCCACGCCGGCACACATTTCCTCACCAGCGCCTGATCAAACCCTAGCTATCTGGAATAGCTAGACATTTCAGCTAGCATTGCAGTGGTAATTTTTTTCCTTTTGCAGATCTGTGTTTCCATTTTGCACAATTTCTCTTTGGTTTTAAGAACTTTGTTTAGCACCGTGGTGAAAATCTGTTGCCAAGAAATTCCCTTAGGCATTGTGTGTAAAAAAAAAAAAAGTCCTTATTTTCTCATCATTTTTTGAAGTTTCTTTTTTGCTGGATAATTTTAGATTTATAGTTTTATTTTTCAGCACTTTAAAAGATGTCATTCTATTGTCTCCTAGCTGTTGTTTATTAAGAAGCCAATCATTATTTTTATTGTTGTTCTCCAAATGTGCCTCTTCTCTGGAGGGTTGAAGGTTTTTTTCTTGCATTTGCTTTTATGCATTTGATAGTGGTAAACCTAGATGCACTGGGCTTTTATGTAACCTGCTTGAGTCACTGAACATCTTTGTTCAGTGGTTTGATTTTTTCCTTAAATCATTTGGGGACATTTTTTGGAGGTTTTAGCAGGGGAGCGCAGCTACTCGTATACCTTTGAGTGAAGACCGGTCCTCCTCTAGCAGGGATGGTCGTCCTCTTCGACCGAGCGCGAAGCTTCGGGAGGGACGCACATGGAGCGGAGAAGGAGGAAGGGGACACCCGCCTAGCCAGCCAGATCAGCCGAATCAACCCTGGCGATCAGTGGGGTGACAGATGTCGCAGCCAGATCGCCCTCACATCCACATTTGGGGACATTTTAACCAGTCTGTTCTCTCTGGATATTTTCATCTTCCCCATTTCCTTTGAGCATTCTGATTGTGTGAATGGTCCATGTTGTTGTTTGATATAGGTCCTGCTTTTTTTTCTTTTCTTTCATTTTTCCTTCTGTGTTTCCCTTTGAATATTTTCTCTTTCTCTGCTCCAGATTTCACTGGTATTTTGTTTTCTTACCAGGTCAGACAGAACTTTTCATTGTGTTTGTGGCTTTTGCAGGTTTGGTGTATGTACTTGGAAAGTGTGTTTTCTACTGGTTCCAACAGGGACGGCACGCGGCAGGCCCATTCCTGGAGTAGGGAGTTGTTTCCATGCGTTCAGGCAGATCAACAGCTGTGCATCTCGATTTGAGCAATGTCTAGTTCTTCTGTAAATCTTGTACTACAAAGGCCGTGCAAGGAAAACATGTTTCTGTATGTTTCCCTTTACGTTTTTCATCTTGATAAGTTTTAAGCCCCACGAAAAATTCTAGGTTCAATTATTCTCTTTTGGTTTTAATGTTTTGCTGTATTTTCTTTTTATTATGTACACACTTGAGTGGACTTTATCCTTATTTGAACAGAGACATGATGGCCTGAACTCTCTAAATACTAAATGTTGCTGCAAACAAGGACATTGTCACACACAGTCACAGTGATTTTATCACACCCGAGAAGCTTACCTCAGAAATATGCAGTAGCACTTGAATATAATTTATATCCAAATTGCTAAAGTTATTCTAATAAATAAATCCTGTTATGATATTTCTTGGATCCAGAGTTTGATTAAGGATCACACATATTGCATTTATTATTTTGCCTAAAAAAGTTTATTTTGAAAAATTAATTTTATTCATAAAATTTCTATAACTTTGACATTATAAGGAATTTAGGCTTACTGTTAGTTCTTCATTTTGGTGAAATTCAATTTATTAATCCTTCATGCTTATTACTTTTTGTATCCCAATTTTAAAAATTCCATACCTGCTGTAGAACTTAAGATTTCCTCATATTTTTTCTTCTGGAAGCCTGATTTGTGTGGTTTTCATGTTTTGGACAATAGTCTATTTAAACATTCACGTGTAGTATGAAATAGAGTAAGACTCCCCTCCGCCCTCTATCATCCAGTTGGCAAGTGATTGCATGTTTTTAGGTTTGTTTCTAGACTTACTTACAGTTCTGCTCCATCTTCTTTTTCTTAAGCTAGAATCACTGTGTTAAATATTGTAGCTTTGTGAATTTGCTATCTGATAGTGAGTTTTTCAGTATTGCTATTGTTACACCAGGTCCTTTGTGTTTATCTCCACATGTTTTAAAATCACCTTGTCACCCACTTCTTCCTTGTCCAACGTATATGTAACCTACTGGAATTTTAGCTGATTATGTTGAATCTCTAGAGATCAGTTTGAAGAGACTTGACATCCACATCCTAAATAGTTGAGGAATCTTCAATAAGTTCATGGTAAATGGATATTATGGAGAACCATTTCATGGAATTTGAAAGCTTTTGCATCAAAATAAACTCAAACTAATTTGTCATATATCTGCACAGGACTTAGTGTGAGGCATTAAGAACAATTAGATACTAGTTTGGAAAGAACTTCTATCAGTGCAACCAGATTTCTGCTAAAATTAAAGCGCAGCAAACATGAATGTTTTGCTGATATTTGAGTAAAATAGTGAAATCACTGATGTTCTAGAAAATATCTGGGGACAGTACCCTAAAGAAATCAGCAGTTAGAAATGGATTCTGTGGTTTAAGAAGACATATAATGAAGATAAAGCCTGCAGTAGCAAGCCATCCACATCAATTTGGTGGGAAAAAAATTAATCCAGTTGCAAAGGGGAGGAATAGGCCGCTTTCAACAGATGGAAGGTCATGTATTAACAGACACATGAGAAAATGCTCGGGATAGTAATCAGGGAATTTTCAATAAAAACCACGGTGAGGCTTTACCTATGCTAGTTACACTGGCTGTCATCCAAAGATGAAACAAGCAAAATAAATAATAAACATCCAAACA